TAGATACCTGGGGAAGGGTGGTTTCCAGTCGGAATTGGTTGATTTGCACGGGTTTCACACCCTACTGTCTCCTGTGCAATTGGTACCACCGTAGACATCTTGTCTAGGAAACTAGACCGTATACGTTTTCCTAAAGATGCAACCTCACAGCGGGAAGTCAAATAGGTGTTTCACGCACTTTCTGGCTATTTTCCCAATGTGCTTGGCTGCATCGACGGTACTCTAATTGCAATCGTCCGTCCACAAGCATGCGAGGAGGCAGCGTATGTTTGCCGGAAGGGATTTCACGCTGTAAACATCGAAGCCATATGCGACGGAGATCTAAGGTCAGTATGAAAGCACTCATAACTTTCTAAATCATACCTGCATACGTAAAACTGGATGGATACAACTCTACTGTACAATATTTACAGAGAGAACACAGTAATATTTTGATGCAAGCCAAATGCGGAAGTGATTACTTCACAATCTATAACCTTGACATTGAGTGATTAATTTGAATATCTATTTTTAGAATTTAAAGCCTGAGAGGCCCGTTTGAGGTGTCGCAGTTATTTTATTCTAATGAAAAACGTCTAAAAATTAAAACTGGAATTGTACACTGTAATGTCATTGACCGAGTGCAAAGGATGTAAATGACATGTTCATGCATTATTGTTAACATAAAGAAATTAGTACACAATTAGAGATAGAGAGTGTACTATTCCTTACATGTATGGATTATAAATTATATATTGGAAAGGAAATTTTAAACTATGATACATACTGCATATACCCTGGAAATATATATTTTAGCATTAGCATCACATAAATTGTTTTGTACTCCGGCAACACGATTTTCTCTTCTTGGTATGTTGGTAGAAATGTATGTTGTGTTATTACAGGTTCACCAATGTTGTATGCAGATGGCCAGGTGCAACACATGATAGCTACATCTTTAATAATAGTACAATTGAAGCTACCTTTAAGAGTCTGGAGGTAGAAATGGATGGTTGCTTGGAGATTCAGGGTAAATTTGATTATCATTTTGTAATAAAATAAGCTTAAAATGAGTGAAGTTTCATAAATAAAATATATGTACTTGATTATTCCATTTACTAAGAGTAAGAATACATCCAGTTTGAATTTGTGTTGTATTTACTAACATTGTCTTCATATTTCTCTTATAAATCATTTGCGTGTATATCTACAAAATCCTTCAGACATGCCTGCAGACCATGGATGGTCACCCCTGAGAAGCAACCCCAGACACAGGAGAGGAGAGATTTAACCGAGCGCTCTGTCAAAAAGGAACACAGTGGAAAGAGCTTTTGGCCTAATGAAGTCTCAGTTTCGGTTAGTTCGATTATCATAATGAAATTAATATTTCAGAATAAGCAAAATAAATAATTAAAAAATATATAATCTCAAGGTGTTAAACACAAAAATTAAAAGTTCATTTATATCAAAACTGAAGGCATGAATCTGTCATTTACTTACAAAGAATTAAACCATTTTGCAAAATGAAGTTTAAGATAAAGTATGAAAATATTGTAAAAATTATCCATATAGTTATTGTCTGATAGAGTAAGGAGACTATCTCTTTACAGACATAGCTCCAAAACCTATAAATGGAACTTTCAATCACTGAGGTATCGATAAATTGATATAGCTTTAACATGAATGTAGTAGGTTCTCTTTAATAATTAGATGCCTACACAAGTCAACGGGCTGCCTGCCTTTCAAACCAGACAAGTGTCATCGGCTCGTGTATGGTGTGTGCCAGCTACACAACCTGTGTATCAACCATCGCCTTCCACCCATGCCAGCCCTACCTGCAGAGGATGGCAATGACCAGCCATATGACGGTCCACTTAGAGATGGACACCAGACAAGGAAACGCTTGATAGAAAGCCCTTTCAACTAACATATATGGTAAGTTTTTACAACAGTTCATTTGTTTTCCTTGTATATGTCAGCATGAAGAGAAATAAATAACCAATTTTTCGATAAAAATATAATCTGTTAATGCATTTAACTATGGAAAATACACTAAGTACATACATCTTATGTTATGAATGTACACTGGTATTTTGATAAGGACTTGTTGTATTTGTAACAGGAACATTGCAAAGCATCATTAAATTGGTTCATTTTTCAAATTTCTGGGTTATCCTAAAGGCACCAACTTCAACTTCATATGTACATCAAATGAATGTGTAAATTTCATAACCAATTTCATCCAAAAAGTATTTCTTAAGTAAATTTAGTATCATTAAAATGTCAATATATATATATTTTTCAATCTTCTAAATAATTAATTTCAAGGATATATTTCAGAATATGATAAGAGAATTCAATGCCATAACAATTTCACCATATGAATAATCAAAATACATTTTTACCTCACATACATTGCAAGTTTGTCAATTGCCAATATCCTGAATCATTGGAGCAATGTAAACTTAAATCTAGTAATCAATCATAACATTATTCTGCAGATGAGGAAAATAGGTCTTTAGGTGATAAATTTCATCAAAGACACCACTGAACCATCTATGGAATGTTTCAGTAAAATATTCAGTAAAATAACAGTTGATGTTTGAGATATGCATGGCATAAACAATGGGACGGATTGAGTGAAAAACAGTGTTAGGGACATGTATATCAACTCCTATGCAAGTGGTGGTACAATAAATAGATTCATTTTCACAAAAGCATTATATCAGCAGACACATGGAAGTTTTATTCAGTATTTTAGCCGATATGACCTATTACAGTACACTTGTAGATGTTTTACACTGTACAGTATAGTTAAAATAGAAATATACATACATAAATGAACTTATATTTGCAAAAATAATATTAGATTGATATTTCTTGAGTTTAATCAGTTTTCCATTAGTTGATATCTTTGTACAAAGTTGTGAACATAGAGAGGTATCTGTTTAAGAAAATTAAAACTTTACAAATGAAAAGTTCATGACACTCATCCTTGACATTGCTTTCATGACAATAATGACATAAACTGAACTATTATTGTTATCATGTACATTTCTCTTCTAAGTTTTAAAAGACATGAAATTTTGGTAATGATATTTGTAATGTAACATATGTTTTATTTGGGATTACTCTTCTTAGTGTATTAATGATATTTGTAAGGCTCAGAGAGCTCCTAAAGTCCTGTAGCTTGCAGTTAAGGTACATACCTTCTGTAACAACAAATGATTTCATACAAATTATTAACAACCAATGGTACTTGATAATTTAACAGGACAACTCGAACAAGCTTGAACTACTCACATCCCCAACATATGACAAAATGGATTTATTTCACTTCATTGTTAGAATGTCTTAATAGCAAAGTATTGTATATACATTCAGAATTCAAATGTGATGATGGGTGAGATGCATATGGGAGTTACAGTCTGATCTGCCTGTTTTCTCATCAGCCGCAACCATTGAGTATTGGCTCTTGCAGGCGCTCTCTGTCGATCTGCAAGCGTTCCGCAAGATGGCCACCTTCTCCCTCTCCTGCTGGACCACTTCAGCTGCCTGGGCTGCACTGTCTTCTAAAAACAAACGACAATCATGTCATATCCACAATAATTTTCAACAATTTCAGATACAAACATTGTTTTGTTTTTCCTTTTGTATTTTTTACTATAAAGGAACTTACTTGCAATCATCATTGATTGCATTGTACCTTGTAAAGTTGAACTGGTATATCACATTGTTAATATATGAGACAATTTCATCTTTGAAAAACTTTTCATACAATCATTACGAAATATTACTCATTGACAGTACAAAGGTTAATAATTACCATGAGTATGAACTTTTGTCTTTTGTTTCTTACTCCCAGGTCTCGAAACTACAAAGAAAATTCACAATATAATTGTTTTCAAGGATATATTGCAGAATTTGAATGTAATAACATTAAATTATTTTTTTGACTGCATCATATTATAAATGCAGTACGTATACATAATTCTTCCATTACTATAAGAAAATAGTATTGAACTGGAACTTGGAAATCTGAAGTTAAATCTTGGAATTTATTAAAATCTTAAGTATTTATAGACTAATAAACATTGTATTTGTCAAGAATGGACATATTTTCTATTTATTTTCATTTTAATACATTGCGTGACGTAGTAAGTGATATCACACTGAAAACACCAAATATTCTCTATATATTAGTCTGAGGTATATTGTCTAATTTTGCACACCAAATCTAAACGAGATAAATCTATAATTATCATGATTTGCGATGTGATATTATTACCTATGTCTGGTGACAATTGGAACGATGCTGGTGGATCATGCGGTGTTGGTGGTGCTGCTTGTCGAGGTGGAGTGCAGGGCGAAAGGAGGATAGGTGATGTCCGGGCAGAGTCGACATTCAAATTGTTGCTGCTAGTTGAAGTCGAGGGAACAGCTGCATCAAACAACACACTGCCCAATCCTGAGAAGGCTGGAAATTAATGTTTTATATGTCAGAATACCTTTGCAAGTATATTCTTTAACAAAAATGTATAAATTTATTTGGAATATTTAAAAAGTACATGACACTTAAACAAAGAGGTAAGTTACTGGTTTGCAAATATTTTAGGGCACAACTTATCATTATGCAATTAATGCTATAGGCCCCCATACTGTCACTTATACAAAACATTAATTTCACACATTACTTGGTGATCACTTGTATATCATAAGTGTTTTATGATAACGGATGAATACCTGACAAGTCTTCACTATCCAGCCCCCCTGTGCAACCATTGATTTGTGCGGATGGAATGAGGGACACCACCTGTAAAAAATTAAATGAACTTTTCAGTAATTAAACAAAAGCATAAATTTGATTATACATAGACACATTGTTACAGGTGTGACAATGCAAAAATTTAACTTGAGACATGTGCAGGTATACAGTACAAAAAAGTGACTGTACCATGATACTGAAAATATCATTGATTTATACATTCTCATATCAACAACATCCAGTAATAAACAAGTTTTTAAATTCATAATTTTATAATTTCATTACTTAAGTTTCCTCATACAAATATAGATTTATGCAATATACCTTATACTCAAAGTCACTCAGTGGAGATGGTGATGGCCCTCCGCCTGTCTGGAATATAGCCTTCTTTAGGCTAGTGGCTTTCCTCCTTGTGTCACTCCTGTTACAGATTAAAGTACATTATATCAAATTATTTCCATCTTTAAGATCATTTACATTCAAATAACACTGACCTTGATAAATTCATTTCTTTGAAGAAAATTATCAGCCTGAAATTGAATTATTGTAAAACTAAATATGTACATTTTCAATTTAAGTAGATTTTAAGGTTCTCAAAAAGATGTTATTTTAATAAATAAAATTATCCTTTTGGAAGTTAGTTCTTTGTTTCAGCTTGTTTGTCAAAGTTAAAGCCGCAGTATTGAAGGCATCCTTATAATATATTAGATAGGTTTACTGTTCTTGTTTAGTACATGAATATTATATTTTATGTAGTCTTACTTTAGAGTGGTCCATTTTTTTGACATCCTCTGATGAGCGGATAGAGGACCCGCAAGCACTGACTCTGAAAATATCAATAGGATTTGTGTACTTCACTGCAGACATTCTAATCTTTTCTTTATCAGTTATGAAAACTTTAGTAGCATGTAATATACTGTTAAACAGTATAATTCATTATCAAAAGAATAGATTGAATTCACATCAGTACTCAGAGCTCATGATAAAATATCTAATGTCTTTCTGAAATTCACTCATCAAAATATTGTGATCAATAACATTAGCCATTTCTGTGGGATTGCTAAAAATATAATCAGATAAAGTTATTTTGAATTATTTTTCGAGAGGAGAAACATGCCTGTGAAAACAATAATTTTGACTAAAATGACCAACAGAGCCAATGAGTCCTACTTTGACATTGCATTGTTTACATTTACGAGCTGATCGCGATCAATAAATTGAATAATTAGATTCACCTGTTTGATATGTCCTTCCAAATCTGTTGCTTCTTGCTGTTGGTAACAACGGATGAAAATGAGCTAAATAGAATAGACTTATGCTTCTCCACCTCATCAACTAAACAATCCATCTCGTTCCGAGTCCAGTTGACTTTTCTCGCTTTCTTTTCTGCGGTCGCCATCTCGCTTGAGCTTGACATTTTGACGTCTGCTCGGGGATTTCCCAAAAAGCTGTGACGTCATATGGGAAATCCCTTCGCTTTTCTATCTCACCGACTGAAGAGCTCGCTATCCTAGCTAGGATCGGAAACTCAAGTTAGGACAGGGATAGGATCGTTTCGAGAATGGGTCTTATCTTAAAGTTAGGATGTCCTAACTTCTGTCCTAACTAGTTAGGATCTGTCTTAGCTGGGACACTTTCGAGAATAGGGGCCCTGGTACTTATTTGTAACGTGCAATGTTAGCCATGCTGCAACAGATTAAATATCAGTTTAGGTTGCACGGGATTATGACGTGTGTTTTGTTGCACCATTATGGACACACCACCTTCCCAGTGTTTGATGATTAGCTATGTTAAGTATTATGTGAAAAAGAGTGAGACATCGGACAAAGGTTCTGAACGTTCATGATGTGCGATGTGAGAGATGGTATTCAGCAATTTATTAGCGCCAGCTATCTTGTCTTTACGGTTTTCCATAAGAAGGTCAAATCCGCCATTTTCTTTTTATGACGTTACATAGGTGTGACCTTTGTGTGACCTAATCGATTGTTGAACCCCACCCTCCTTCGGGAGTCCGGCCAAGGTGTGTGTGTCACCTTCAGGTTCACCTTAGTGGTCCGTGATTATTATTCAATTATCTTATGAGTGGTATGAGTTTGCCGACTCGAGTGTTCACACGAGAAACATGTGTTCCTTCTGTAACCCTAGTGACTACAGTCGTTGGGTGTAATACCATTCTTGGTTTAGACACTGTACTGTGCGGACGTATTACCACTGCTCTGGGATATCATGGATGTGTGTGGACATTACCCAATCGACAAGACACTCGATTGCTGTGCAATCAGTACTGCATGGGCTTCATTCCAGAAAAGATTTGATTCGTTTAAGGACTGGTCAGTGCAGATGAAACCGAGTCCTAGTCGCATGGCCCAGGCAGGATTTGTGTACTTAATCAGAGGGGACACTTGCAAGTGTTTTCAATGTGAGCTCGTTCTCAAGAACTGGGAAGTAGATGGCGATCCCTGGGTCGAACATGAAAAATGGTCTCCAGACTGTCCGTATTTGGCCCTGGTGGGAGTACCTCAGAAACATATGGCCCGCTGGGGTAGTCATGTGGATTTGCAACCAAGAGAGTGATGTAAAATGTGTGAATATTAGAAATAAATCAATGTTAAGAGTATATCTATGCATTGGTTGTCTATGTATAGTCTTTTGTTGATGTATAAATAGAGGTTTACTCAAATACTAATCTCATTGATATCCCAATCACGATAAGAGCTTGTTTGCAAGAAATTATTATGGCTAGGTACGTGTTGAAACATTACGAATTTTTAAGGTTCATGTTAATGTTTCAAGACATTGAGGAGATTCGACAAGACATCTTAGAAATGAACAGCAAACAGATTCTTGCCGTCAATGGTATTATCAAAAGGTTATTAAAGGGAAGGTTACCAGTGACTCGATATGAAAGGCGTCGTGTCCTGTGGAAAAATGATAGAAATAACTATCTAGCTGTGTTACGAAGATTAGTTCACCCCCTTTGGACGACAGACAGTATGTGGAAGAGTCTTTTTGCCAGTAACATGCCTATCGTAGCATTTGTTTTGAAACCACAGTTTGTCAATGCACTTAGAGATGAGGCCATTCAAAATGCCTGGTTGTTTGATAGAGCATTGGCTTAGTACATCTGGTACACCCGTCTTAGGTTTGTCAATCCGGGAAAAGAGCATGTATGACCATCCTGGCAGCGATGTTGAAAGCTACACCAAGCCCAAGGTCAATGAAGATATCTAAATAACAGGCCACAAGGGCTATCTAACTTCATTTAGCCGTGGACAGTGGACACGATTTTACATGCTCAGGGCTGAAGGGAAAGGAGATCCTTATCATTCTATAATGCGTTGAGGAGAAAAATCTCCCATAATGTCTGTCGATCGATATTTGGAACTGTATGATCCAGAGTGGAAGAAAGATAAACCAAAAGAAACCTCAGTACAACCTAAGATTAATTTCGTTACCCCTACTCAACAAGTGGTCGAACAAACCAAGGCTCTTATTCAGATGCAGAAGAAAGGGGGATCTAAAGTTGGAAGTTCCTATCAGATTCCCATGAAGAAATGGAAGACGACTTTTTAGATAAAAGCAGTCAGTAGACATGGTTCCCTGCCATTTAGACTCGGACCACCATGCAGTCAACAACGTGTCCCGTGTGCTACCAGACTTTTTCCAGGACAGACAATATGTTGAGACATAGAAGACAGAAACATAACAACTCCCTCCTCCTCCTCCTCCTCCACAACCACATCAACAACTCTCTCCTCCTCCTCAACCACCATCACCACCACCACCACAAGCATCACCTCCACCTCATGGACCTCCTCTTTCATTAATGCAAACTTGGCAACATCATCATCAGCATCAGCAACTACAGCAGCAGCAACCAGTGCAACCACATTCACCAGAAAGTACTACCCAGTCATTGGAAGAATCAAGGCTGCAACGTCCATTCACCATGATCGTCTCAGGGCCCACCTCCTGTGGGAAAACCTACTTAGTGAAACAGCTTCTAGAAAGAATGAACATTAAACCTTATCCTGAACGTATTATATGGCTCTACAAACGATGGCAGCCATTATAATGCCATTCAAACCCATGTTTATCCCTATGAAATTTCATCAAGGCATTCCTTCTGATCTCGAAAAGGATGCATTTCTGGACCCCAGTGTTGTGAACGTGGTTATCCTCGATGACTTAATGTCTACTGCCAGCAAAGATCCACGCATTACAGATTTTTTTTACCGAAGGAAGTCATCATCGTAATCTCTCAGTGATATCCTTGAACCAGAATTTCTATTACAGTAAGGATCCCACACAACGAAGAAACTGTCATTATCTGCTTCTGTTCAACAACCCTATTGACCAACAACCCATCATGACTTTGGCGAGGCAAATGTTTCCAGGTAACACAGACCACTTCATGGAGCCATTTCAAAGGGCCACCCAGAAGCCTTATGGCTACTTGTTGGTAGATCAAAAACCCCAAACACCTCCCCATTTGCGACTTTGTCCCAACGTATTTAATTTAAAAGGAGGCCTCCAAGCTAGGACAATTCAGTCCGAGTTAGACGTTCAGAGTGAGCAGATGTGTGAAGAAAACCTCCCAACAATGCCATCTTGTGATGACTGTGGACTCGTGTTTCAAGACGTGCATGATTTGCAAAAACACAGAAGAAACTGGTGTCCTGAAAAGTCTTCAGTGGGTCCACCTGGAATACCCTAAGTGAAAAGGAAGTGGGAGGAAGACGACAACTTCTCTCTTGTGAAGAGACCATGTCCTCTGTCAGATTGTGACTATTGTGGTCACTTGTTTAGCAATAACCACAACTTACAAAGACATTTACACGATAAACAATGTCCTGAAATGGAAACTGATGAGGATGATGAATCGTTAAAAGATGTCACACATGGCAACAGGAAAAATAACATAGTTGATCTCGAGGAGCAAGGTATAAAACGAATGTATTCACGGACGTGTGAGGTAAATAAAGACTTTTCGGATGAGAAACGACAGCTGTACATGAAAAGAAGTATAAACAAAGACATGATTCAAGCCAAACTGAAGAAATTCATCTGGAGCACGTTTAAAGAGACGTATGCCCGATTTATTACTTATCTGTACCATATGTAGTATGGACCAAAGACACAAGGAATACTGAAACGAGTAAAAGATACAAATGATATGTATCATGACGTGTTTTCCAAACTGTACCAATATAAATCTTGGGTAGAAGACTTAATTGATGATGATTATGAAGACATGACATCTGATGTAGAGAGTGAAGGGCCGGACGTTGAGGAAGGGCAATAATACAATTAGCACAACAGGTAAAGTAGACATTTGGGTGAGCTCCTATCCTAAAGCCTACTCATTTGAAACTGAGCTAATAAACAATGAAATCTGTATATCTTTCTTGTTTTTAAATGTATTGTACCCATGAAGGTCTAGGCTACCCTTCAGTAACCCATGCTTGTCGTAAAAGGCGACTAACGGCATGTGAGTAACCTATGTGTCACATGATGTCAAATAAGTGTCATAAACATGGACATAAGATGGGTGTTTTTCATGTTTGCAATTTGAGAGTAAAAGTTTTAAAATGTTGAGTAAAAGTGAAAGTTTTACAGGAGAACACATATTTCTTATTCAGTATTATATATGACAAATGCTAAATCATTTCATCGCTGTACAACCAAACTACTTGAGATATTCAGTGACCATCTGTCCTGAACTGCTTACTATTTACTGTCAATAATTCCGGTCAGACACTTGTCTCCTTACATAATGGAAGCTGACCACTTGTCAGCATACATTCAACATCACATTGAAAATTATCCATGCCATGTACTCATGATTACAGTCTGACCTTTAAACAGCGGAAGCTGACCGTTTGTGACCACGCTGAAAATAATCAACAACCATGCACACATGATTACAGTCTGACCTTTAACTTACAATAAAACAATTTCTGGTCAACTTGAACCGGATAACTTTGCGAGCACAGGAAGCTAACACATCAACCCTCCCAGGTCCGCACCAACTGTCACCTACTTGAACATAATTTGTACACGCATAATTGATACAAATGACAGCATTAAATACTTAAAAATGGTGGTCAGTTTTAATGACTGGATGCTGGTGCTTTTAACAAACATAACACCTTACACTTTTTCATCCAATCACAGCTGTCACATGTCTCTTCAGAGACGGCTCAGTGAGCAAGCGATTCTGCTATGCAAAATAGCATAGTGTTATGTATTAATGCCTATAGACAGGGCCCCATTCACGCATATACAGGTTCACGTGAAATTTAAAAGCTACAACCGTTTATTGTTGACAGATATGTAAAATACTTGTTCCTTGTTTGACAGCTTATTTTAAACTGGCTAGTGATTTAACAAAATGCGCTGTGATATTTTGACCTTATAAATAGCAGCTAAATTCCCCCTCATTGTGTGATATTAATTCTACTTTGAATACCTATGCTTATTCTGTCTCACTGTCCCTGAACCACATTATTTTCCCTCCTTCCACATGCCCTCTCTGCAGTGCTAAAACCCTAAATAAAACAAGTCT